CCGGGCGGCGGTCACACTGCGGGCGCGGGCGGCGAGGCCTTCCGCTGCAGCAGGTACCGGTGGATGCTCTCGGCGTCCCGCTTGAGCCAGGCGGCGTTGAGCAGGATATTTTCACAACACTGCTGGATGGTGCGCTCGGCCGAAGGGGCTGGGTGACTCTCGAAGAAAGCCTGGCAGAGAGCAACCGAGAGCGTCCCGTCACGGCTGTCGGTGAGAGCTACCCAGGGCCTCGGGACAGGACTCGGGCCGGGAGGCGGGTGAGGAGGAGGTGACTGCCCTGCGGCCCGGACCCCGAATTGGGACCTGAATCTAGGCCGGGTCAGTGTACTGCCCTGTGCCATACCTGGACTAAATTAACTGCTCTCCACCTCCGCTTTCCCATCTAGGATAAGAGACCGACTGCACAGATGAAAGACAACTTACACTACGGAAGCGCAGGCAGCCTGGCAGAGTCCTTAAGGACTCTACGTACTGTAGCTGCCTCAAAAATTAATTTATAAGGGACAATAATGCTAAGAAGTTTAAATCGCTGCAGTGATCCTAATAACTGAATACTTCATAGTTGCTCATTTTCCATAGAATAAAACTATTTCTGAGTTTAAGCTATCACAATGCTTGATTAAAGGTTACATAAACCATCTTCTAACAAAGTACACCTGGATTCATGGAAAACAAAACCACTCTCAACTGCCAGCCAGCAAAACGGTGGGGCCTCCCTCCCCCGTGAGCGTGTCACAGTCACCGTCCCTGGGGTCAGAACAGAAGGACTCATTCCTGAGAGCCTGGACACCGAACCGCTGCCTTGCTGGACCCTTCTCCGCACAGTGCCGTGCTTACACACCCAAACCCCAGGCTCTGAAACGTTTTTTCTTGGCACGACACACAGCAGCCGCTCAGTAAGTACTGCTGAATTCCACCCCCCCACACCCCCGCCCAGAATCGACCTGTGACCTTGCGCTTGCCAGGCAGGCGCTGTGCTGCTGAGCTAAATCTCCAGCCCCAGTACTGCTGAATTAAAGAGGAACACAATCGATCGCAGCTCTCCTTCACTCCTCCCCTCCTCACCCCGTCTCCGCTGGCTACTGTGTCGGTCTTGCTTGGCAGAGTCCCGCCCAACCGCCCCGACCCCTTCCACACACCCCACCAGACCCCAGGAGACGCCACGCCCCTGGATTAGCTCCCGAGGGCCTGCCAGTGTTACCGGGTCTTAATGTGGCCTGGAGGCCTGGCCTGGCTCCTGTCTGCCCTACCAGTGTCCCCAAACCCGCTGTCACCGCTCCTTCACAGAACCGCTTTCCTTCACAATAAAGCAACTGTTCACATGACACAGTGCACGATGCAAACTAAATGACAGCACAGACCAAGTCTTTGTTTTCTTAAGATCTAAAATCGTATACACCTAACTATAGCTCCTAGAGTGAACCACACTGTTTCAGAGCTCTGAGACCTTCCAAACTCCTACCGCAGAACCTCTCTGCCTCTAAGACATAGTCAAAGTGACATAATAAAAATACTCAGCGGATTTTTAAATGCAGCGAAAAGCTTAGTTAACATTTTCCTAATCAAGGTAAATATGTTCTGCAGATGCTGAAGTCTGCCAGGTCCAAGGTCCACACTAAACTGAGTATCACCCTTTAAGTGCTAAGCGGAGAGGCAGGCTCCCCGTAATCACGGAAGGTTGCAGGATAGGGAGAAAGAGCCAATATCAAGAACCTGCTCCGCACCAGACCTGCCACGTTCCTCATTCTAAATAAGGATCTCATCATCACGGGGTCTACAGGCTGAGACACAGGCCTGGAGCTGCAGCACCTGCGGCAGAGCAGTCACACACAGGTCAGGTCACTGACGCAGGTGTTGCTTAACCATATTTCCACACCCCCGAAGATGATCCCATGTCTAAGTTCCCCAGGCACTACAGATTACCATCTAAGCTGCCATTAAGAGAAAACATGGGGATGCTACTATGTCACTACCCGTGAAAACTAGGTTAGCTTTTGCATGCGCTAGACTGAAAAGTGCAAAGACGACAGTACTTCCTTACCTTAACCTCCCCAGCCATTTTATCCACTGCAAATCCTTCGACTGATAGCTGAAAGAAAGAACGTTTTAAATAGTAAGTAAAATGAGAATAAGCGGAGAACAACCCCCATGTACCCTAGGAGCCAATCATTCTGCTCTCTCCGAAGCCTGTTTATTACGGAGGGTGTGGTTCGGAGGATGCAGAAGAACTTGGATACAGCCAATAGCTATGTGAGGAGACTTCTTTCATATGCGGCACTGGGGACTGAACCCAGGGCCTCAAGTGTGCTACACAAGAGCTCTGCCGCTGAGACACACCCCTAGCCCGTGTTTATTTTGAGACACGGTGCTGGTAAGTTGCCCGTGCTGGCCTCAAACTTGCAATCTGCTTGCCTCGGCTCCTGAGCAGCAGCGAGGATCACAGGCATGCAGCACCATGCCTGGCATCATGAGGAATGTCGGAAAGAGTGAAGACCACAGCATATAGGCCTACTGCATCACAGACATGAGCCCAGAATGTCCATGACAAGCAAGTTACTCAAAATAAAAATGTTCACATACCTTTATTAGTCTGGATATTAAGAATCCTCCTTGGTATCGATTATAAAGTTCTTCCCAGTTGTCCTTTATGAATTTCCAAGCAGCTTTCCTCCCATGCTTGCTGCCTCCAGCGACTCCACCGATTACCGACACAGTGTCCTGTGGACGTACCTCTTCCTAGAAAGACAAAGAGAACTAAAAGTCCAGTGTACCAAAAGCATCTTCTGATGCCAGCAAGTGCAGCTCATTGTTGGGATGCTAGTTCTGCATTTCAGGAGTAATGCGCCCCACAGTACTCCAGCAGGGGAGAGAGCGAGTAACCTCCAGCACGGTCACACAGTGACTCCTGGACAGGCGCACACACGTGGGAGCCTGAGGGGAGAGGAAGAACTTGACCGGAAGCAGCCAAAGGGAGGTCAGACTCCAGCCCCACAGGGACCCGTACAGTATGTGGGAGTGAACAGCAATGAAGCGCACACCAGTCTTCCCGGGCACAAAGCCTTAACTGAGGACACCAAGTCGCAGAGAGCCCCGCTGTGGACCAGTGTCCTTGTAACTTACTGAAAGTGCAAACGTGAGGACTTTTTGGATGAGTTCAGGCAAAAGAGTAGCCCCGAGGACTCGTTCAATTCGGTTTTTCTCTTCTTGCATATCCGCTTGTTTGTGAAGCTACAGAAGAAAATGACAGAGACAGGGATATGTACCTTCTGCACATGCTTAAACTTCTCCAGCAAACGGAAACTGCTCCTTTGCCTTCTCACTGGGGCATACTAGCACGACATTAAAGATAATGGAGGGGGGGCAGGAAGAAAGGAAGAGAGAAAGAAAGGCAGCCAGGCGTGGTGGCGCAGCACTTGGGAGGCTGAGGCAGTGGAGCCAAAAGTCTGAACTTAGGCTGGGTGACTTAGCAAGATTCTGTATTAATAAAATAAAATACGCTGCAGATGTAGCTCAGTGTGAGGACCCGGGTTCAATCCCCAGAACCCTAACACAGAACCCCTACCAGGGTGGCTGACAAGCACTAAATGTTAGCAGATCCAGGCACTCCCTAGAGGAACAGCCTGTCCTCAGTTCTCAGCAGTTTAGTATCAACAGGTAAGAAGCAAATCTGTCATGGCCAAATTCTTTATATCCCTGGTATCTGGCTAATGTTCTGTTAGAGATGAATAAACTAATAATTAGTAATCTTACTTATGCCATTAAAGATCATCAATTTATGAAAGTAAAAAACTGAAAATAATCTAAATATTCAACAAACTGACTAATCATTCATGGGGGTGGGTTGAGACAGGGTCTGGCCAGGTAGTTCAGGCTGGCCTTGAACTCACAGCAATCCTCCTGCCTTAAGCTCCCAAGGGCTAGGATTATAGGTGTGCCACCACATCCACAGTGAGTCTGAGGCCAGCCTCAGACCCTGCCTCAAAAACAGCAACAACCAATGAGGAAGACTCAAGAACATTTCATGAAGGCCAGGCATGGTGGTGCACACCTATAATACCAGCACTTGGGAAACTGAGGCAGGAGGATCACTAAGAGTTCAAGGCTAGCCCCAGCTATACAATGAACTGAACGCCAGCCTAAACTACACCTCTTTCAAAAAAAAAAAAAAAAAAAAAGTATTTCAGTATTTCATGACACAAACGTGCTGAAAAACACAGAGAGGCCAAAGAAAGTGACTCTAAATCTAAATTAAAATAAAATTTAATGTGAAGAGACAAGCTTTCAACACGCTGAAGCATTAGTATGGACTGATGATAACTTCTGCTCAGCAGGACTACATGTCCTCACGTTTCTTTCTCTGGTAGTGCTGGGGATGGAACCCAGGGCCTTCACACTGAGCTACATCCTTAGTCCTTTTTAATTCTGTGACAGGATCTTGCTGAATTGCCTGGACTGAGCTCTAACTTTCGATCCTCCTTCCTCAGTCTCAGAGTGATGGGTACCACCTGGCCCAGCAAGACTAGGAAGCTTTTTTTTTTTTTGGCCTGAAGAGAACTTGTTACATATAAACCCACTAGATGGCACTCTAACCCAATATTTAAAAGATTATTTTTAATAGGGGAATGGGGCGAAACCCAAGTTATGTGGAGAAGGACATTCTTTAGTTACTCTTTCAATGTATTGCCTCAGGCCTGACCAGGCCACGTGACTGTTTGGTTCTGGAGGAAGTCTACAAAAGCACTGGTGGAAAGGAACCGATTACAGAACCTGTGTCCTTGTGGAAAGCCATGAGGTCAACACTAAATGCTTTGCTGAGATATGCCCGAAGGAATGATAAAACATGATGGCTAAGTCTCACTCCTATGATAACTGAGTTGTATTGTCCTTGCTGAAAAAAAACGGTTGATACCCTCCCATTTGCCCAGCTGCTTCCTTTGTTCTTTCTCAATAAAAGTTTACTGAGATGGGCAATCAAGGCTTCGGTCCTAGAGGCTGCCAGCTCCCTGGTCCCAGAACTTTGCCTCTTGTTTTTCTTTTTTCTCTCACTTTTCTATTCATCCGTGAGTACCTCCTTCTTGGGACCTGTTCGCTCTGGACAGAAATGGATTTTTCATCTAACGAAGTTGTACCATGTACAGGTATGAATTCTCTATGAACATGGTTTGTTTTTTGGTCTTTTTGAGACAGGGTCTCACTATGCAGTTCAAGCTGGCCTTGAACTTGCAGTGATTGATCCTCCTGCCTCAGCCTTCTGAGTGCTGGGATTACAGGTGTGCTCCACCATGCCTGGCCATGATCATTATGTTTATCTAAGATGTATCAATAAAATTTGATTGCAGAAAAATATATATTTTAAGCTTTGCCTCATTATCCTTACATTACCAACAGAAAACAATCCTCCTCTCTCACCAAATAATTTCTTGAAGAACTCTGACTCTGCCTTCATTAGAGCTCTTCCCATAGTAAGGCTGAGTACTGTGACCTCCCTTATGTTAAATAAATGCAAATCTCCTAAAGACACACACTTGTATAAATTATTCCAAGTGTGCCATGACATGAAAATGCCAGAGGACCTGCCACAAAAATGTCACAACCATTATTTCCCAAATCTACATTTGTAGAACAGACTAAAAAACCACGAAGTAGCCCATTTTACATGCATTTCATTCACATTATTTATAATACAGAGGATTACAGACTACTAAGAGTGAAAAGGGGACCTGAATGTTTAGTTGAAACCCAAAACATAACTTTTATATTATTAGAAAGGAAGCCCATGCATAACATGGGTAAAGTAACACCCTTTGAGGGATAGTTCCTTAAAGAATATGTTTTTTTGTGTACGTGTGTCTCTTCTTTTTTGAGACTAAGTTTCACTATGCCGTTCAGGCTGGGCTTGAGCTCACTTTGTAGCCCAGGCTGGCCTCGAACTTGAAGTGATCCTCCTGCCTTAGCCTCCCCAGTGCTGGGATTACAGGCGTGTGCCACCACGCCTGGCTAGGAGTATGTTTTTCAATATGTCTCAATTGTCTTTATTTACTTTTTTGAGACAGGTCTCTATGTAGTGCAGGCTGGCCTTGAACTCCCAGTTTCGCTATGCAGTTGTTGTTCAGGTTGATCTTGAACTCATCTGTAGCCCAAACTGGCCTCGAGCTCACAGTCTCTGAGTGCTGGGATTACAGGTATGCGCCACCATGCCTTGCCTAAAGTGTTTTTTTTTTGGGGGGGGGCGGTACCAGGAATTGAACTCAGGACCTTGTGCCTGCCAGGCAGGTGCTGTGCCACTAGGCTATATCCCCAGCCCAATGTCCTTAATAAAAGAACT